CTCCCTCGCCTGCCTCCCCCTCCGCCCCCCCCCACTCTGCTCCACCCCATCCTCACCCCCTCGCTGGTCCTGCAGGGACTTCTCGGAGGTCACAGCCCCACGGCCAGCCCCCAGGAGGCGGAGGGCACCCAGGGCTCCGCAGCCTCGAGAGGCACAGGGTCAGGGGTCTGACTCTCTAGCTGTCCCTGTGCCTGGGCTCTTCACGGTGAGCGTGTACAGGGTTGCACGTTCATCAGCAGCGCTGGCCTGGGCCTGCTGTGTGCGTATGTGTGTGAGTGTGGGAGCTGGCCGCCTGTGCATGCGTGTGTGTGTGTGTGTGTGTGTGTGTGTGTGTGTTTGCCCCCCGGCCTGCGCTGGGCTGGGAATCCAGCCGCGCTTGGACCCAGGCAGAGGCAGACCCCCTGGGGCGGGGGCTGCAGGGAGCTCCGAGCCCAACACGGAGGGGGGAGATATAGGGGGGTCCTGGGTTACCGGGGACCCCAGCCTTAAGGGGGCCTGAGTGGCCCGTGGGATCAGAAGGGCCTCTACGAGGAGGACACCCAGAGGGGTTGCTGGGATGGGAGGCTGGGTAGCGGCGTTCCCAGCTGAGGCAGCAGTGCCGGCCAAGGCTCTGAGGCAGGAAAGGGCCGGTGTGTCTGGGGACTGAAGGAGGAACGGGCTGGGCGTCAGGGAGGAGGACATGTCCCCCAAGGCCACGCCACTGCTGTGCACTGGTGGGGAGCGTGCAAGGGGGCCACCTGCCCCCAGACTTCTCACGGGTGGGGCGCTGCTGCAGGGCCCCGTCAGTGTCCCCAAAGCCCGGAACCCCAGAGTGGCTGTGTCTTTTCCTCCATGGCCCCTGGGGCTGGGCTCTGTGGGTGCGTTACCATGGAGAGCAGCCCCTTGAAAGCCTTTGACTGAGAAACGTCACCTGCAGGAAACCGTCGTCATGAGTTAATCATTAAGGAATGGGACTCAGACGCAGCCAGGTCACGCACCCAGCCTAGCTTAGGGAGTGGAAGGTTTGCAACATCCTAAATGCCTCTGAGAGGCGACTGGTTAAGTAAACTGGGGTCGGTTCAGGCAACAGAGCGCTGAGGGCCCTTCCCCGGGGGCTCCAGGCCCGGACCCTTCCACAGGGGCGGCGGGCTCTCCAGGGCCAGGGCCGGGGGGCTGCTCAAGACCCAGAGCAGAGCCGCCGCCCTGCCGGACGCCCCCACAAGGAGCCCAAGGTGTTGGGGAAAACAAGTCTTTCTGAGGCCAAGGGGAGGCTCGTTTTTATTGTGAGGTGTGACCATTTCTTCTACGTGTCACCAAAGCGAAAGCGCGGCGTTTAACACTTCACTCAGAGCTTGTGGGTCCCCAGGAACCCGGCTGAGGACTCCAGTTCTACGGAGAGGAACGGATCCAAGAAACGTGACCGCGTTTACACAAATGACCCAGGCAGCACGCGTGCACTGAGCCGTGTGGGACGGCGTGTCCACAGGTCCTAACAGCGCCCAACCCGGAAAGCTGGACACACACGTGCTGCGGAGGCAGCCCGGGCCGGATGTCGAGGTTGCAGGAGACCGACGTGTCCCTGCTCGCCTGCATCTTTAATTGACATGAATTTCACAGAACGTAAGGCCACGTTTTCCATGGTCCAGGTCAGCGGGCCCTGAGCACATACACAACGTTGTGCAGCCAGCACCTCTATCTAGTTCCACACCCTTTCATCACCCCCAAGGGACCCCTCGAGCCCCACAGTCACCCCCAGCCCCTGGGAACCTCTAGCCCGAGTCCCGTCTGTGTAGAGTTTCCTATTCAAAACGTTCCATATACATGGACTCATGCGGCCTGTGGCCTTGTGTGTCTGGCATCTCTCACGCAAAAGGTTTGCGAGGTTCGTCCGTGTGGTAGCACGTGTCAGATGGCCGCTCCTTTGGATGGCTGAGTGACAGTCCCTTGTACAGCTGGGCCACACCCCATGGAATGTTATTCCGTTCGTACAAAGGAATGTCCACTCATCCGCTCGTCACGGCTGGCTCTCTACCTGCACTTCTGCAATGACCAGGAAAGACCTCTGTCCGGAGGTTGTGAATCCCAAGGCCCCAGGCCCGCCTGTCCCAGCGCATTTCCCTGCACTCAGCCCCCCGGATACGGCAGAATCTGTAAGAGGAGGCGCGGCAGCAACGAAGTCAAGGAGGCTATGGACGCAAAGCAGGACTCCGGCTCACGCTGTATCTCGGGCTCTTGCAGACCCATGCGCCGATGACCTGCATGTACGGACATTCACGATGCAAGATGCAGGCTCCACGCGGCCCGCCGTCTGTCGCCTCTGGGCCTCTGCACGCTCTGTTCCCCTGCCTGGAACTGCATCCCTCCCCTCCCCCCGCCCCTGCCCCCAACAGCACCGCCCCCAGGCCTGGCCTGGGCCTGAAGGCATCCTCACCACACATGGGTTCCCCAGCCTCCACACCTCCCTGAACACCTGTTTGAAGGGAACTGGGTGACCTCTGACCTCAGTCTAAAGACCATCAGCATTCCGGGGCAGTGGGATGGGCTCTATCAGGAAGGACAATATACCCAGGGGCCAGAGTCTCCATTTTTCCATTTTTTCCTGTGACACTTGTGCCCTGGAGTTTTAGACATGTGGCTACCCAGGAAAAGACTACATTTCCCAGCCTTCTTTGTGGCAAGTAGGGTCATGTGACTAAGCTTTTGCCAATGGGATGTGAGCAGCACAGCTGTGCATTTCCAGGTCCTGTATATTAAGGGAATGTTGGGCTCTTCACTTCTCCTTTGTCCTTCCTACGTGCGGGAGTGTAGAGGTGATGACTGGAGCAGAGCAGCTATTTTGGGCCACAAGCAGCTACCTTGAGGGTGCCAGTACTGCAAGGCAGGAGGAGTTGGAGCCCCTGACAACGTGGGGTCCCTGTGCCAGCCCTCAGTGGCTCATACACAGAGTCCTATATGGAAGATAAATACACCTCTCTCCTGATGAAGCCCCTTTTTAAGTTGGGGTCCCTTGATGAAACCTGCCCTATTTTCATGGGCTCCTGGGCCGTTTCCAGTGACGTAGCTGTTTGGTCTGCGTAGTGGGTTGGATAGTGTCCCCCGGGTTCACGTCCCCCCAGGATCTCAGAATGTGTGTATGGGGACACTGTGTGGGGCCCCGACCCCCAGCGGCTGGCAAACGGGCCCCGTCAGATGTTGACTTCCTCTCAGGGCTGTGGCCCGTGTCCTCACCACGGTGCCGCTGCCCCAGGCCAGCCGGCCGACTCAGGCCTCCGGCTTGCGGCCCCGAAGCTAAGCCGTGTCAAGGCTCCGCTTCCCCTGCAGTCCGACAGCGGAGCCGTCCAACAGCGGGCTGGCGCTCACGGCGGCAGAGGCCCTGCCTTGCCCCCGCCCACAGACCCCCGCAGCACGGGCATGGCCTTCTCCCAAGCTCTCAGAAGGTCCGGTCCTGGCTGCGGCTGCCCCCGAGAGGAGGGGGCGGGGCGGCTCTCTAGGTCTCTGTCTATTCAAGCTTCTACCCCGACCCTCCAGAGAAAGTGCCTCTATTTTCCCCAAAGGACATCTTAAGGGACACAAGCTGAGTTCTAGGCCACCACCTGGGCCCTCCTATGGGACCAACATGGCCCTGGCTCCGAGGGCAAGGACCACCAGGCTGAGAACAGTGAATGCCCGAGGGTGGGCCAAGTGACTCAAAGTGTGCGTGGCATGGGTCCCTAAGAGAATCTTTGGGGCCCCCCGGTCAGGCAGAGACTTCTTGGGTATGACACACGAAATGCACAAGCTGTAAGAGGAAGAAAATGAATAGACAGGCCGCAGGAAAATGAAGGACTTGAGCTCCATGAAAGGCGCTGAAGGGAGAACTGAGAAGCCGACCCACAAACCCCAGGTGAGGGCAGGATCTTTGCAGACCACCCACTGGACGGTGTCCTCCTATTCCCAAGATGCCAAGACCTCTCAGCTCCAACAAGGGAAGGACACAAAGCACCGGCAGGGAACTGAATGGGCACTTTGCCAAAGAAGGTATACAGGTTGCAACTAAGTACAGGAAAAACTGTTCAGCCTGGTGGGTCATTTTGAAAATGCACGTGAACAGTCACAAAGAGACAGCGCGCACCCTGTGGACCGGCTAGAATTCCCGGCTGGCAGTTGGCCAGGCCTCCAGGTAGGCCGGCCGGCCTCCCGCAGCCTGTGGCGGGGACAAAATCGTGGCAGCTCTGCACCGGTGCCTGGACGCCAACGTTCACGCAGCTCTGCTCCCCATCCGGAATCAACCATCCTCCAGCTGTGAGGGGCTGCAGGAACCTGAGCGTCCGTGCCGGAGGCACGGAAGAGGGGCCGACTCTCCAGGGCGCTCAGCCCAGCGGCGCAGGCCCGCAGCCAAGGCCGTCCTCGCCTCGCTCCACTTACACGCCTTGGAGGCGGCCGCAGAGCGCGCCCCGCAGCAGCGGGTGGGCGGGCAGAGCGAGCGGCGTGGGTGGGGGAGGGGACCGATCCGCCTGCGGAAGTGCCCGTGCCGGCCCAGCTGCGCTGGTAAACAATGCCGAGCGGCGCGGCAGAAAAGGTGCATTCGACTGTAGTCCTTTGGAAAACGCGAGAAACAGGCAAACGCCGCCACGCCGCCCGCCCAGCTTCAGTCTTTCCCCAGCACGCCCCCTTTCCCCGGCTTCCTGTCCCGCTGGACCCCAACCCAACGGTCCTCTGCAGGCCGCCAGGCTCGTTCTCCTGCCCCCTTTCTGACGGGCGCCGTAACGGCCCCGCGTGTGACAGCCCCGCCACCCCCACTCCAAGGTGCGGGGGGCTGGGCCCTGGGGGCCCTCCCCGTTCTCACCGGGCCTGGGGGCGCGCTGGGGGACGCAGAGGGGTGGGCGAGGCCGCGGGCGCCTCCAGCCGCAACCCCCAGCACTGCAGCGCCCCTCTGCGCCCCCGCCGTAATCCCCGCCCCTCCACCCGCGCGCCCCCGCAGCGCCCCCTCCCTCCGGCCGCCGACGGAGACGCGCGCCCTCGCGGGGACGCGGCGGGCGGCGGGAGCGCGGCCGTTGCGGGCCGGCCCGCGGGGCTGAGGGCGAGCCGAGCCGGCCCGCGCACCGGCTCGGCGCCCACCATGCGGCGGCTGCGGCGGCTGGCGCACCTGGTGCTCTTCTGCCCCTTCTCCAAGGGCCTGCAGGTAGGCACGCCGCGGCCCCCGCCCGGTGCCCACCCCGCCCGCCTTCGGTGCCCGGGCGGCGGCCGGGCTCGTGGCGTCCAGCCCTGGGAGGGGACTGGGGGGGCTGGGCGGATTCAGGACGCGGGGTGAGTGGCCGCCAGAGCGATTGGGGGTCCGGTGTGAGCGGTGTTGCGGGGGAGCCAGCCTAGGGGCCGGGGCGCCCGTGCAGCGTGGTGGCAGCCCCTGCTGCCAGCGCTGAAGAAGGCCCCTCCCCCTCTTGGGCTGGACCCTGCTCGCAGGAGCCTAGAAACCCACCAAAAACCCCCTCTTTCCTTTACTTAAAGATAAGGTTGGTTTTTCTGTTGCGGAAAACTTGGGGCACAGAAACGCTGCCAGAAGGACATACATCCATCCCCCTGGGCCATCCCCTGGCTGGCCGGTGTGCCCGACCCTCAGTGACCTTGCCGAAGACTCGCTTTTGGGAGGGTCCTCCGTCTGCCGGGAAGGCCCAGGCTGCCTTGGGTGCCAGCTGCTGGGGGGATCCTGCCACCTCTGCTTTGGGTGACAAGCCAGGCCCTATCAGTCTCAAATCATCCAGCTCCGCATCCCTGCCCCCAGCTGATCGGAGCCTTTCTGGGGCCAGGGCGGGTGGGTTCCTGCCAGGGTGGCAGCCGGGGAATGTGCGGGCTCCACGTCCGAGCCAGATGCCCTCCCTGCCCGCCTGGGGCCTTGCGGTGTGGGTGCTCGCCCTGCCTTGGGCAGGCGGGGAGGCGAGGGGCCTGAGGTCCCCCCGCCACGCGGGAGGTGGCGTGTGCCCTGGCCCCCAGCGCTGCCGGGAGGCCTTCAGCCTTGCCGGGCGGCCCGGGAGCGGCAGCAGGGCTGCACGGGCTTCCAGCGGGCGCCGCGGCCTGAGCCCTGCCCGGCCCCTCTCAGTGTCAGAGCAAGCCCTGAGCCTCGGCGTCCCCGCCCGCGCATTAGGGAGCCGCCCACGGGCCACAGCTCACTGTGGTGTTTCTGTCCCCTGAGCGGCCCTCCCCACTCCAACTGGTGGCTTTTCCACGCAAGGAAGGCCGGCCGTGTCCCAGGGCTCGCTCCCTGGCGGCTGGTCAGGGCAGGCAGGGCAGGTACGGGCTTCAGCGGCTGCTCCTGGAGGACGTGCCACTGAAAATGAGGATGTGAGGGTCAGCCCGGGTGAGGCGGGTGGGCTCGGGGTGCGCCGGGAGGCCGCGGGGGCAGGGAGCCGTCTGCGTCCCGGGCCCCTCAGACAGGCTCTCCCTGCGGTGGCCCTGTGAAGCCTGGTCCACCCTGCGGTCCCCCCACCCAGCCCAGACTGCCCTCCCCCGGCCGCCCCAGGACCCCAGCGCTGGAAGCCCACCCCGACCCCACCTGCCGCCACCACCTCTGGGTGTTTGCCGCCGGCCGGACATCCCGGACCCCGTCCTCCCACCGCCCTCCCCCCCGCTCCCCACGCCACGCCCCTCCACACTCTTTCGGTGCTTTCCTGTTTTTCATTTTGAGCAAATCTGACGGAAACAGACGCATCGGAGGGACAAATGGGCCTGAGGCCCAGCCCCCTCACTCTGCTGCAGGGCCGCTTGGGTCCCCGCTGCTCCTTGGCGGCGGCTGCGGTGCTGAGCCTGCCCCCTGAGTTCCTGGGGTCCTCCCTGTGCAGCCCCTCCTGGGGGACGGCCAGCTGTGAGCGGGGGCCGGGAAGCAGGGGGTGAGACGCTGCCTCTCCTGGAAGAACCAGAAACAGGACGGCCGCTGTGCTCGGTGGGGAGCTGGTGGCAGCCGCAGCCCTCGCTAACCAGGACGCAGGGCTGGGGCCGCGCGGGCAGTTGGTGCCTCCTTCGGGGACAGGCTGTCCTGGGGCTCAGCCGCTGCTCCCGGGGGGCAGCCTGCGAGGCCTGCGTTTGCCCGGACAGGGAGTGGGGACGGGAGGCGGTGCCTCGGAATCATCGGAGGCTGCGTGGGAGACACCCCCAGCCTGCCTGCTGTGACTCTGGGGCCCTCACACCCTGTGATTCCACCTGTCACCTGGGGCAGCTGGCCGGGGCACGGAGCCCTGCAGGGACGCAGCTCCGGGCCACCTGGACCTCCGGGATGGAGCCTCTGGCCGCCAGGCCAGGAGCTGCGTGTCTCACTTATTCTTTATTGTGGCGAATTGCACGTAACACAGAGCCGATCCTCTTGATTTGCCCACGTTTCGGGGCAGGGCTCAGGGACACTCACGCTGCTGTGCAGCCGCCGCCGCCACCGCTCCAGGACTGTCCATCTCCCCAGCCGGGCGCTCGGTCCCCCTCAAACACACACTCCCGCCCCGCCCCCGCCCCGCCCCGGCCCCACCGTCTGTCTCTGAATCTGCCTCCTCTGGGGACTTTGTGTGTGTGGGACACTGTGACCGGCTTGTGTCACTGGGTGTCAGGGGTGTCAGGACTTCAGGGATCCTCCCCGTCGTAGCAGGGGCGGGATTTCCTGCCTTTTCCAGGCGGGATGATGTTCCACTGCCTGGGGACGCATTGTGTCTGTCTGTCCAGCTGTGTGTCAGCGGCACCCGGTCGCGTCCCCGCTTCGGCTGTGGGGAACATGCCGCCGTGGACATGGGTATGCGAGGCGCGCGGGCCGGCTGTCCTTGCGCGGAGCTTGCATGTCTTGAGTGAGGAGGGCAAGGCAGGAGGGTGGTTTGTAAAACATACCTTTGTTCGGTAAAATAAAGAGTGGACTACCCCGTATTGCCCCATTTTGAAACTGATTTCACCTGCCTCTGTATTTAAAAGTCTAGGTCCCGGCCCTCACCTCCCGCGGAATGGGTGCGCCGGGTGGGGAGGGAGGCCGGAGGAGACCCTCGAGTGTTCCTGGGGGTGGGCGGCTCTGGACCCCGGCGCAGGGCGGGGCAGATGGGAAGCCTGGGGTGCCGCACCCGGAAGGGGGCGCTTCTCACGTGCCCCTCCCCTCGCAGGGCCGGCTGCCGGGCCTCAGGGTCAAGTACGTCTTCCTGGTCTGGCTGGGCATCTTTGCAGGCAGTTGGCTGGCGTACGTGAACTACTCGTCCTACGCAGAGCTCTGCCGCGGGCACATCTGCCAGGTGGTCATCGTAAGTGTCCCCTGGGGCTGGGCATGCGGACTGGTGGGCGGCAGCGGACGGGCGCTCCGTCCTGCCCGGTGCTGGGCCCGCAGGCGGGCTTTGAGGCGGCTCCCCTGGCTGGGGGCGGAGGTGGGGGGTGTCGCCGGGAGAGGGCGGGGCTGTGGGGAGGCCGCTGCAGGCACCCAGGAGAGCTTGGCCGGCGGCCGGGGGGTGGGCGGGGGGCAGACTCCGGATGGCCGGGAGGGAGACGGGAGGGCCAGATGCTGGTGACCTGGAGGGCCCCTCCTGGAGCCAAGGGGCCGTCAGCGGAGGCGGCCGGGTGTGGCCCTCAGAGAAGGGAGCCCTGGTCTGGGGACGGGAGACCCAGGCTCTGAACTTGCCTGGCCTGCCCCCACCCGCCGGGCGGCCTGGAATCTCTTCCGCGCTGGACGGGGAGGAGGGCCACCTGTCTGGGTTCTGGGTGGTGACTGAAGCCAGGGCTGCTCGGGGCCGAGTTTGGGGAAGTCTGGAGACGGTGGCGGGAGGGGCCTGGTGTCGGGATGGGGAGAGCCCCCGCGACAGGACTTGCCAAGGGCCCAGCGCGCAGCGGGCACCGAGGCCACCGCCCTGGCGCTGGGGTCGGGGGGCGAGGCCTCCGGGTCTGCCCTTGGGTCGTGGATGCACTCGTTCACTCCAGATGTGCCCACTGGTGGCCAGCGGGGGCCAGGCCTGAGCTGGGGCAGACACGTGGCTCGGCCCTCCCAGTCCAGGGGGCGGGGGGGCGCACAGCGCCCGTGGCGGAGCAGAGATGGAGAGGGGGCCTTGGCCTCTGGGCGGGGCCTGAGCGCAGCTGGAGCTCCAGGAGGGCGGGCAGCGGGGGAGGCGCAGGCGGTCAGTCGGCCTGAGGGCTGTGGGGAGCAGGCGCCCCATTTGGAGTGAGGGCGGGGATGCGCCTGGGAGGGGGGTGCAGTGAGCACGTGGCCAGTGTCACAGGTCTTTCCTGACCACTTCCTGTGCGCCTGCAGAAACCCCATCCTGCAGAGGGCGGAGGAGGCCGCTGGGGAGCAGAGGGGGCGGCCTGCCAGCCAGGAGGAACCTGAAGCCCCCGTTTTCCCACGCACCCTGGCCGGGCCAGCAGGCGCTCCTGAGCCCCGTCCCCGGGCTCTAGGGAGACAACCCCCTTTCCAGAGGAGACCAGCCCGCCCCCGGGGGTTATCGGCCACCTCGGAGAGGTTCCACAGCTTCTCCCAGGCCAGGCGCTGAGGGCCGGACCCCGGGTCAGGGATCAGACGCTCGCAGGCCTCTGGGTGCTGGGCTGGGCGCTGCTCACTGGGTCCCCGCCACGGCCCAGTCGGCAGACGGGAGACAGGCTAGGAGGGGCCGGGACTCACTTTGAGTGTGACAAGCCTCAGAGCTCTCCCCAGCCCTGGGGGCCGCCTCAGCAGAGCAGTCCGCGGTCCCATTTCCCGGCGGCCACCCCAGGGCTGGGTGGGGGGGCGGGCAGAGCAGCCCCTTGGCGGGAGGAGCCCCCGCCGGAGGGTAGGACGGAGGGGCGTGGTTTTCTGTCCTCTTCTGTCCTGATGATCGGCGGTCGCAGCACAGACGCTTCCTTCCTAGGTCACACCTCCGAGACCCCGGCCCTGGTGGCCCAGAGGCCCGGCCCCCACCCCCTGCTCTTGGGGGGGTGCTGGTTCTGCCGGCTCCCTGGCCTCCCCTGCTCATCGGGATTCATCCAGAGGGTCTTCCCTCCAGAGGGAAGGTCCTGACTCTGTCACCTCCGGGTCTCCCGGCCCCACCCGGGTCAGCCCCAGCCTGAAGGGGCGGGGGCAGCAGCTGCTGGGCTGTAGGGGACAGACAGCCGGCCGTGTCACCCAGCCGGCAGCCCCTGCGTCACACCCCCGCGCGGCCGCATCACCAAGTCGCAGGCCCTCTGCTCCCGCAGCAGCCCCCAGGGACGGGCCACACCGGGGACAGTGGGCGGGGGCAGGCACTGTTTCTGAGGGGGCCTGATGGTTCTCAGGCCGCAGGGAACGTGAGGCCGCGCCAGCTGGGCCTGGTGGTGGGAGCCGCCTGGTCACTGGCTGCGGCGCCCGGGGGCCCCTCTGAGGGGGCTGCGGCCCAGGAGCCACGGAGCCCCCGCGGGCGGCGGGATGAGGGCCTCTGCCCGCCAGCCCCGGGGCACAGCATGTAAAGGATGGGGGAGGGCCCGAGCAGCCGCGTCCTCAGGCCCCTTCCCGGTGTCCCCCTCCTCAGTGTGACCAGTACCGGAAGGGCATCATCTCTGGCTCCCTCTGCCGGGACCTGTGCAGCCTGCACGCGCTGGAGTGGAGGACCTGCCTGACGGCTGCCCGGGGCCAGCAGGTGAGGCGGGGGGTCGGGCGGGGCCCCGCGGGAGAGCCCCCTCCTTGTGTCCCGGGGCTGAGGGGTCCAGGTGCAGGGGGAGAGGGACTTCTACACGGAGGGTCCCTGTGGCCTGCCCAGGTGTACAGCGGGCTGTGGCAGGGCAAGGAGGTGACCATCAAGTGCGGCATCGAGGAGGGCCTGGACCCCAAGGCCGGGCCGCATGCGGTGCCGCGGCGGGAGCTGGTGCTGTTTGACAAGCCCACCCGGGGCACCTCGATCAAGGAGTTCCGGGAGATGACCCTCAGTTTCCTCAAGGTCAGTGGCTCTGTGGGTTGCTGTGTCCACTTCATGCCCCGGGGCATTAGCACAGGGTGGGAGGCGGGCCGGGCAGGAAGCCGCGCATGCGTGGGAAGGGGGCGTGGCAGGAGCGGGTGAGAGCGGCGGAGAAGCGACCGCCCCCTGCCTCCCCGACCCCCCGCAGCAGGCCCTCGCCTCGGCACTCAGGCGCCCACCCCCAGGCCCACAGGGACAGTCCCTCAGAGCAGCTCCAGGAGAGACGCGGGCGGGTGGGTGGCCAGGGTGGGCTCCCCCCAGCTGTCACGGGTGGTCCCGCGGGCCGCCCTCCCAGCCGGCACCCGAGGGTCTGGCGGGACCACACCACGGCCGGCATCCTGCCACCTGGGCCACGCGCTGACTCTGAAGCCACTGTCTCCCTTTCTCTGGGTGCCAAACGCCAGGCGAACCTGGGAGACCTGCCCTCCCTGCCCGCGCTGGCCGGCCAGGTCCTGCTCATGGCGGACTTCAACAAGGACAGCAGGGTGTCGCTGGCCGAGGCCAAGTCGGTGTGGGCCCTGCTGCAGCGGAACGAGTTCCTGCTGCTGCTGTCGCTGCGGGGCAAGGAGCACGCCTCCCGGCTGCTGGGCTACTGCGGGGACCTGTACGTCACCGAGGGCGTCCCGCACAGCTCCTGGCACGGGGCCGCGCTGCCGCCGCTCCTGCGCCCGCTGCTGCCCCCCGCCCTGCACCGGGCCCTGCAGCAGTGGCTGGGGCCCGCGTGGCCCTGGCGGGCGAAGATCGCCATCGGCCTGCTGGAGTTCGTGGAGGAGCTCTTCCACGGCTCCTACGGGAGCTTCTACATGTGCGACACCACGCTGGCCAACGTGGGCTACACGGCCCGCTACGACTTCAGGATGGCCGACCTGCAGCAGGTGGCGCCCGAGGCCGCCGTGCGCCGCTTCCTGCGGGGCCGCCGCTGCGAGCGCAGCGCCGACTGCACCTACGGGCGCGACTGCCGGGCGCCCTGCGACCAGCTCATGCGGCAGTGCAAGGGCGACCTCATCCAGCCCAACCTGGCCAAGGTGTGCGAGCTGCTGCGGGACTACCTGCTGCCCGGCGCCCCTGCCGACCTGCGGGAGGAGCTGGGCAGGCAGCTGCGCACCTGCGCCACACTGAGCGGGCTCGCCAGCCAGGTGGAGGCGCACCACTCGCTGGTGCTGAGCCACCTCAAGACACTGCTATGGAAGAAGATCTCCAACAGCAAGTACTCCTGACGGCGCTGGCGCAGTGGGGCCTCCGGCCAGGACTGCCTCCCGGGCCTGGGTCCCCTGCGCTGGGGGCCTCTTCGCCCTGTCCCCGGACGAAGGGCCGGGGTGCAGGAGCTGGGCCCGTGATCGGAGGCTCCTCCGCTGCAACCCTCCCTCGCCCTGGGCCCAACAGCCAGACGGACGGACCGTTAGCTGGCACGAGAGGCTGGAAGGGGGAGGGCAAGACGGAGGGCCTGGAGCCTGAACAAGGGCTGGCCGACGGGAGCCACCCAGGCCGCCTTGGGTTTTGTTACTTTCAGGAACGTTTGATGTGAATAAATAGCTCTTCCGTGCGTACTCTCCGAGTTCCCCGTACCCTGCCCGGCCCCCGTCCTGTCCCCTGCCGCCCAGACCCGCCGCCACCCCCAGCAGCTGGGACACAGAATTGGGGGCTGCCAACGCCTGCAGAGCATCTCAGGGTCATGGCTGCCAGGGGCATCCGCGGGTCCCCAGAGCCAGCCTGGGGCAGTGAACGGGGCGAGGGGGCGGTGTGTGAGCGGATGCTGGAAGCCGACCCTCTTTTCTGGCTCATTAAGTCCCGTGGACCAGCTGTGCCCGGAGTAGGCCGGACTGGCGGTGAAGGGGCTGGGCCAGCAGGAAAGGCGCTCCTGCAGCCAGCGGTGACCCTCGGCCCCTCCGCTGTAAGCCTGCTGCTCAGGACGTGGCCCGACCAGGAATTAACTGATTTCAGCGACCCGCCCAATTGGACTCCCGCAGGACACCCCTCCCCTGTGGGGGCCCTGCCGGCGAGCACACACCTTCCTCACATTCCAGACTTAGCCTGTCAGGCCAGGGAAACGCCCATGGAGCGTTCTACGCCCTCACTGGTGTGTCTCTGTGGGCTGGGTGCCAGCCTGGGTTGCGGGCCAGGCGGTCCCCGGGTGGGGCACGAGAGGCCACTGATGGGATGTTTCTCTCCCTCCCTTCCCCTCTCTAAAAAAAAAAAATCTGCCCGCGCCAGCCTACAAACCAAAGGGTTGCGGGTTTGATTCCCAGTCAGGGCACAGGCCTGGGTTGCCGGCCAGGTCCCCAGGAGGGGCGCATAAGAGGCAACCACACATCAATGTTTCCCTCTCTCCCTTCCCCTCTCTAAAAATTAAATCTTAAAAAAAAAAATCCAAAACAAAAGATAGTTTGTAAAACTCTTAAACAGTTCCTCCTCAATACATCAAAATGCCTATTTTTTCCCATCCGGATTCCCTTCCCATCGTGGGCAGCGGGGCAGCTCTGGGCGGTCAGCCGGCCCCCCTGCCGAGGGCACGGTCGACTTGCTCGACGTGCCTGGACTGCACGGCTCCACTAAGATGTGGGTTTTAGTGGAGTGGGAAGTTTCTTTGATTCGCAACAATTTGAAAAAATAGCCAAACCCTGTAGCCTAGAAATACAAAAAATATTTAAGAAAAAGACCCATCGTGACTGCACAAAATGTGTACGTCCTTCTACTTGGAAGTGACCTCTTGTGGCTCTGTGCCCCTGCCACCGCGTTGAGGGTCGCCCTGTGAGCCCCAAGTGACGCCGGGGACCCGCAGGCGCTGCCACGGAGCAGGGCCAGGACGCTCCAACCACCTGAGCCACGTGCCCCGTGCCCACGGGGGGGCCCGCGCAGCCCCAGTGGCCGCTGCACGCTTTTTGTGGAGGGTCTTGTGTCCCAGACAAAGTGCAGCTCCTGGGCGGCGCGGCTCACCCGCAGCCCACCCGCAGCCTGTGGAGCCCGGGGGAAGCCAGGTCGTTATGGGATGACTCGGAGCAAAAGGATCTACAGCGGAAGAAGTGAATGCCAGCTAAGGATGGTCTGAACTTTCAGAAAGAGGTTTTAAGAAATGTCAGGGTGACAAGTTCCCAGGCACCACCCAGAAAATCAGACCACGATGTCGGCCCCAACAGGCTTTTAATGCAAAGAGCACTGCCCCCTGCCCCCCGGGCCATGACACAGAGGACATTTATTAGTTAAGGTAAGGCGGCCACAGAACACAGGACCGAGGGCAGAAAGGGACAGACACTGTGCAAACGCTGCTGGGCCTCCGTGGCACCGGGAGCCGCCTCCTCGCTCCCCTCGATGCTCCGTCCCTGAGACCAGAAGGGCCTGGCCGGCAACGGGCTGCCTTTTGAAGTCCAGGGCTGGACGGTGCCCCAGCCACTGGGGACCCTTGAGCTCAACACCGCGGGTGTCAGAGGCTGACATAGCCCCGAACGTCTCCTTCAGCCTCTGGACGAGGGGTCCTCAGGACCTGCGAGGTCTCCGTGGAAGGCAGCCGCCAGCACGGCATGAAGTCTGGGAGGAACCACCGCTGAAGGGGCGTTGTCCTCAGACGAAGCACCTTCTACAAACACTGTCAGAGACGAAGCTGTCAGGAATGACCACGCTTCTGGGCCCAGCCCCCTGCTCCCTGCACCCCCGCCCCACCCCACCCCACACGACCCCACAGGGAACTCGCACTCAGGGAGGACCCTGCGCGGTGAACCCAACGGTCAGGGGTGGTGGGGGGGGGTGTGTGTGTGTGTGTACTCGACACCCTGCCACCACCCCGCCCAGGGAGGCACCGCGTGGGGCACGAGCAGGGGTGTGAACAGCCTGTCCGTCCACAGGCGTCAGTACATGAAGTTGTAATGAACCTCATCACCGCTCAGCAGCCCCCACCCCCATAACTGGGGAAACTGCCTATCACCACAGGCAAGTTTAAAGACAAACCAGCATTCCCCAACTTTGGTTATGAAGGGCTGCGATGCTGTCCGCAGGGTTTTGTGACACTCACTAGCAGCACGCCGCGTGTCTGCTGCAACCAGAGGCGGCCGCTTCATGGTAAGGGCCCCGCACACAGCACACAGGACTGCAGGGCAGCTGCTCCCGGCATGACGCTTCACACGCCTGCGGGCTCTTCCGCACCCGAGGCCCCTGCCCGAGGCCGTGACTGTCCCCCACAGGCCTGTGCAGCAGCGGCCCCCGGACCGGTGGCGCTGAAAGTTGCATCTGCTGTGGCGGCATGTGTCGGACAGCATCTTCCCGGCTCTCCGCTCTCTCCAGAACAAGGGGCTGTGCCTGGGCGGGCCCAGCAGGAAGGTTCCCCTTCTGTAGACAGCACACCAGCCGCTTCCGGGACTACCCCCAGCAGCGTGTCCTGGCGCCGGACCGCGACCCTTTCAGCTCGCCCAGCAGTTCCTGGAATGCAACAATGTGGCTGCTGAAGCACCCCCCAGCCTCCCTCAGCACAGCCAAGCCCAGCTCCCTCTTCTGATCCTCCACTCGCCACCCAGTTTCTGGTGGAGTTCATGTCAAAAGTAACAGACCCAGCCTCGTGAAAGTTTCAATACCAAAAAGAAGCCCTCGGCTCTAAGAAAACGTCATGCCCTACTCTGCGCCCCATGGGTGCCAGCCCCGAGCTGGCCGCTGGGCTCACGGGTGGACGTGAGCGACCCCCTCGTCGTCCTCTCTGGTCATCAGGCCCACTAACTCCTGCCACTCCACGTCACCCTGTAGACAAGCCATGGGAAACCCAGCGCCTAACGCGAGGAAAAGTGGGCAAAAACCGGCAGTTGCTCAGTGGCAGGAAGAATAGCCACAAGTCAAGGCGCCCATTCTCATAACAAAGCTGCTCCCCCCGAAAACTTGATCAAGGACACAGCACCCGGGAAGTCCCCTCCCATGCACCAGGGCCATCCAGCGTGGCCACAAACGATGAGGTCCGTTCCCAGGCAGGGTCACACTGGCTCGGGGGGAAGCCAGCCGCCAGGCTGTGACGCCTCTTGGCGCGCCATCTCGGTCGCGGCTTTCCCTGCCCCGCGCAACTCCCAGCTGCCCAGCCCCATGAGAAACCCGGCCAGCCCCACCCAGCCAGGCCAACCCGGACCCACAGAGAGGGCGAGGTGATGAAGGTCGGCCCAGTCTCCACACCCAGTCTGCTCCCCAGTGAGCAAGTGGAACAAAGAATCAATGTGTCTCCCTCTCTCAAATTGAAACAAAATACAAAAAGCATGCAGAGTCTTACCCTGAGGCAGCTGGCCGAGATCTTGTGGGCTCTGATAGCACAGAGCTCTCCACCTGCAAGGGGACAAGGACAGCCTGGTGACACCTGCCATCCCAGCAGGGTTACCAAGAGCGGCGCCTGCCGCCCCCAGTGCCCCGGCGGGACCCATCACCTGCAGAGTCACAGCTGGCCCACCAAGGGGTCCCCAGGGACCCTGACTTTCCACTCGCCAACAGGCAAGTGCTGGGAGTGAACGTCTGCACCCCTGACCCAAGCCGACAAAGCCTCTCTTGCTCCTCCCAGCGCTCTGCTGTCTCAAGGGCCCCTACCGTGGGGGCGTCCGGGTGCAAGGTGGCGCCTGACTGCCCACCCAGGCCCTGCCCACCACAGGGAGCTCAGAGCAGCTCTGCGGCCCTTAGCCGGGCCCGCCTGCCTGGGCCTGCAGAGCACTCCCTTCCAGGAAGGAGCCCTCTCCTGGCCGACCCGCCGGGCCGGAGTTTGTTGCGCGCACCCTTGCACACTCGCGCGCGCACACACACACACACACCCCCCTCCTTGGGCCCTCAGCACAGCCTCTCCCGGCAGAGGGTGGCGGGCCGGAGTCCTGCCTGGGGTCCCTGCTGCGAGTGCACCTGCACGGCGCAGCCCACCGGCCGGGAGCCCCAAGGGCTGTCAGGCTACAAACCATTCTTAGTGCCCACCGTTCTGGGCACTGAGCGTAGAAATAGCCTCTTCCTCTCTGCCCTGGCGTCACAGGTGCAGCACAGCAGCCGCGTCTGTGGTGCCGGCGGATGCGCACCTGCAGGGCAGCCGCCCCCGCCCTGCCCCCACCCCAGGGCGGGGCTCCAGGCCTGCAGCTGCTCCCCCCTCCCCCGCCCGGGGAGCCCTTCGCCTTTTCTACTGTCACCCTCCTGGCCCCGGACGCGCGCAGCCCGAGGTGGAGATGGAACCCCCGGGCCACCCGTGAGTGCCCCTGGCGGCAGACCAGTGCGTCTACGGTGCAGCTGGAGCGCTGCACCCTCCCAGCGAAAAAGCTCCCGGCGACGTGCCCAAGACCAGAGGGGACAGTGGCGACACAGGAGCTGTGACTCGGGAGCCTCCTCGCACCTCCCACGCTGGAGGCTTCCCACCCAGGTCTCTGACGTCACCTCCTCCACCAGGGTTTCTGCTGGTCCCGGCCGCGCAGCCTGAACAGCTATCCATGAACCCTTCCTAATGCAATGCAAGGAACGCGCGGATGCTCCCCCAGCCCCCCCGAAGCTTACTCACCCGTCCCGCTCATCCCTTCGCTGGCGGCAGGCTCCCAGCTGCTGCTCTC